TAGCGCCAGTATGATCGCGATCTTCTTTAAGATCCGATCGAGAAATATAAACAAATTCTTTCGTCGCCTTCATCAATTGGATACTATGTGCATTCGGTTCAGATGCATCTCATTGCTGTGTAGGGTCGCACATGTTCAAAATGCAGTTACTCGGTATATTTACTGGCCGATGTTTTTAATACGAAAGTACATCATTTCGGTTTGAAGACGCATTTGGTAGTCGCGTTTTCACGGTGTCACCGCGTGCCAACAGCCTGGTGATTCCGAAGCCGGGTGTAACAATAGCCGAAATAATCGTTTGACATCATCAATCAAATGTCCATATAACAACCGAGGGTTGCTAAACAAATCGCGCACATTTGAGATCACCCATGACCCAGGCTTCACACCGTGGTTAAAGTCTGTCGGCGGCCTACCCACCACGTCCTGTATGCAAACACGTGTCATCTCTCCCGGGGGGGACAGGAGGGGGGGGGGGGGGGGGGGGGGGGGGGCGTGTGCAGATGACTTGACCGCTCGGCTCGCCGCCCGAATGCATGCAGCCTATCGTCTCGCATGCCGCAGCGGATTAGACGGTCCGCGGTGCCACAGCTCTCTCCGGAGCAGTCTTATTGGGCAGTAATCGGCGCGCGAAGTGAGGAAAGCCAGTGATCTCCACCTCAGGACTGCAAATTCGAGGCGCCATTATGTTAAGTTGGAGACGCGTCATACGGATTGACTATCGACCGCGCCCGCCCATGTGCGGCCTGCCGGTCCTCTCGCCAGCACCGCACGGTACGTGACCCGGCGCCGCAGCCGCAGCTGCGGCGCCGAAGGCCAATTGCAGGTATCTCTCGGGTGTCGGGAACGGGCCGTCCCATGGCCGGCGGCCGGCAGATGAGCCGGGCCGGACGGGCGCTCAGAGGGTCAGCTCTCGCACGCAGTCTATCGACCGGGCCAGCTCATCTGCGCTGGCCCGGCGCTGGCCGGCCCACGCACCACGGTCCGGCCTCGGCGTGTTGAAATAGCTCCGCCAAACGTCGACGCGGAGAGAATGATACTTCCCATGAAGCCGTCAGAACACGAGCAGCGTATGGCGCCTCCGCGCGGCAGATTAGCTACGCTGGGTGCCTGCCATGATGGAATGACGGAATCTCAAAATTATAATCGCATGCCGCGGCAAAATGGCAACCTTAAGCTACACGACTGAAGATGCGAGCTATTCGCTCCAAAATCTCTCCCCCTGAAAACAAAATATCTGACACCATGAGAAAACCGGCTATATTGGCTGAGACCTGGTCCACATACCTGCTCATTTTGCCTGCCAAGATGAAATCTGGTCCACACCTCTGAACAGACTACTTTGCCAGCCGCGAGCAGATCCATACATACGACGGACATCTCTGCTAGGTAGGATTCAGACGGTGCGGACAGGCGATTAATGGCACGGGGTCAATTGGATAAGTTTGGGATGTGGTAACTAGTATTATGCAATTATCATTACTCATCTGCCCTGATGCAACTTGTGCCATTTTAATAGCCTAGCGTGCAAAACTTATTGCAATTCTGATGAGATATTGTTTACGCCATAGCGGTTCTATCACACAGCGAAAAACCCATGCTTATCACCAAACCGTGCGATTAAAAATTGCGTTGATTGCTTTTACGCGCATTTGATATGATACCGTTTCACACATGTAAGATTTTGAAATGTTTTTGAGTAGCTGTCAAGTTTAAATTAAATCCAGCGTACCGAGAGATGGAAAAATGCTGCTTTATCATTGCCTTATGAGTGGCGATGTAAGCATTGTTTTTGTAACGTAATAAGAGTTACGCATGGAATCATTAACGAGACATGTTTTGTAGCTGTTCTTCCCAGAAGTATGATTTCGGTTAGACCGATCATGTTCTTCACGCGCTAAGCCAAATGCTAAGACACGAGTGTTTTATCTATCCTGATCCACGTACTGACACAAACGTATGGCTCAGTCTGAGTCATATCTCTTCCATGTCGGTTCAGCTTGATGGTAATATGCCAAGACGATGGATTTCGTTGGAGTTTTTGCAGGCTCGAAATCTAGTTATCATGTATGCAGCTTGCCACAGTCGTGAAGCCGACAGTTGTGTGATAAATGTTCCAACTGGGCTAACCCGAGAGGATTCTGTGTAAATTGGGTTTCTCTTGCGTAAACAAGACAGCGTAGATTTCGAGATACATCTCGACAGTCAGGACTATTGATTCAAACACCTGAAGCAGCAGTAAGTTGCTAGATTTTCATTGGCTCTAATGGCTTACATCAATCTGAACAGCCCTCTAGCAGTAAGTTTTCACTCGATCTAGTAGGCTGTTGTGCCTATGACAGTGAAAAGTTAGGAACGCGCTACGTGGGATATAAATACGTGACGTGATCTTAAGCTACCCTAGTTCGCCCGGTTAATGAGCCTGACGCTGACGAATGATAAGCGCCTGAAAAACTTACCTCGGACAACATGGAACAAACTCTTAACGTCGCTACTGCCAAGCGCACACCCAGGACAACCGTTGGACGACATTTCTGCACCTAGCGGGCCTGCTCGATAAACGCGTAACGCCACGTCTGCTCGCCGTCACCTCCGCTTGATGGAAAGCATGCTCGATGTGGGGTGTGTTTGGCGGCCCGCCTGCTCCGTGACAGGTCAGCAGGTCTCATCGTCTAAATGTCAGGTCTCCTTGGCGGCAGGTCAAGCTGATAACAGGCCAGCTCGGTGGCAGGTTCTCTCGACGATCGGTATGCTTAATGATAGATCTGATCCATCGTGGGTCTGCTCTGTTATGAATTTGTCCTGTGCAAGGGTCTATGATAGATGTTCAAGTCTGCTCTTTGATAATTGATTGGTCTGCTCTACAGTAAACCTGCTCTATGATAAGTGTACTCTATGGCGACCTGCTCCATGATAGGTCTGCACTATGGTAGGCCCGGTCTTCACTGGGTTTGATCTGCACTGGACCTGCTCTGCGATACACTCATTCAGTCACTAACTCCTCGACGTCAGGTCGGGTCGGTGGCAAGCCGGCTTGATCGCGAACCTGCCGTCCGGCTCGCTGACAGGCCGACCTCATGACCGACCTGCCCGCGGCGGTGCGGTAGTCTGCGCACGGCCATCACTTCCGCCGGGGCATGACTGTGACTTCAGAGACCGACACGCGCCGTCGGCAGGGACCTCGCGCCGGCCATTAGCATAATGGTGCTGTCTGAACAGGCCCGGTCGCGGGGCGCGACGCTTCTGAATCGGCGCCCGGCAGCGAGCGGCGGCTGGCGTCCGGTCCCACCGCGTCGTGTGTGTCGAGCCGTCTGTGTTGAACTGGGTGCCGCGTCATGCGGTGCGACCCGGAAGAAGGCAACCTTTTTCGTGGTCATCCACGGACGACCGAGTCCGGCAACAGACGGTCACTTGGCACGCAATGATGCTAATTTTTTGCACTCTTGTACCGAAAATCATGAAATGGTGCTCACGACCTCATCAGAATATTGTCTTCCTGAAGTCGGCTTGGCCTAGTTGGAGACTAGATGCGTTATGTTATAAGTACTCTATGCTTGCTTATGCGCTTCGTGATGTATGAGTAATGTTAATCTGCGCCTCCAGCAGAGACCGAACTCTTTAACAACCAAGTTGATGGTCATTACCCCCACCAGTCATAGAAGCGACCAAGATGTCACAAACATATCGGTTACCCAATAATAGTCGGTCGGCTGGCTCAGTGAGACTGCGCCCAACACTCCTGGCCGCCACGGCCCCAGTAAAGTCATATGGTACTGTTGTGCACTGCAGCCAGAGCCAGAGAACATCGAGAGAGAGAGAGAGAGAGAGAGAGAGAGAGAGAGAGAGAGAGAGAGAGAGAGAGAGAGAGAGAGAGAGAGAGAGAGAGAGAGAGGGGGGGAGAGAGAGGGAAGAGAGAGAGAGAAAGAAGAGAGAGAGAGAGAGAGAGAGAGAGAGAGAGAGAGAGAGAGAGAGAGAGAGAGAGAGAGAGAGAGAGAGAGAGAGAGAGAGAGAGAGAGAGAGAGAGAGAGAGAGAGAGAGAGAGAGAGTCGCCTTTCGGAGCCGGGGTTCCGCTCTGGAGCGGGGCCGATGCCAATGCTCGGAGAGTAGCGGGAGCGTGTCTTCCTCTGGAGCGGGGCCAAAACGGAGGCCTCGAGAGAGCAGCCTGAGCGTGTTCCGCTCTAGGCTGTGTCGGCCGGGATTTGTTTGCTTGTTTGTTGCTCGTTTATTGACGTTACAGTACGGTTTCACTACTAATGCCGGCTTTACAACCAGATTCAAACACGAAACGACGTCCCTCGCAAAATCAGAGCAAGAATTCTCGACCAACGCAGGACGCGGGGTGGGCTAGAAAAACGAGGCCTCAGTTGCGGCGAAGAAGTGGCGCGCAGCGCTCGGTCCAGCCAGCAAGTACCTGTGCGCCACTCTGTTGCCCCCCCCCCCCCCCCAGCCATGCCGGCCGAAGTGGGCTCGAGACCTGGCGGGGCGGCGCCGGAATGCCGTGACACAGACTCAGATGCCGCAGAATGGAACAGCGAGCTCACATCGAGGTACCACGGTCGCCGAGGTAGTTTGCTGTGATGTTCATGTCAATGAAATTTGCAACATGAGCCGTAGTTTTTGCAAACTGGGAGGTTGGCTTGGGCGTCAGCTTTGACATCGGCTATTTTAAATGGACTTACGTAGACATAACAGCGTAGTAGCTGAAACCGCTTGAGAAATATGGGATGTGGCTAGGAAAGGATGCTGGATCTGAGTGTTGATGTGAAAGTATTGGTCGATGCTATTTTTGCATCGGCTGGCTGTTACGTCAACGCGTAATTACGTTCTAAAATTGGAAGCAGCCTAGCCAAATTATTTTCGCTCGTGTTACCTCGATCATTTTATTGTTTTGAGCCTGAGGAAATTTATATAAATGTCTTCTCTAAGATGTTATTTTTGACATTTTTGACGCTGAGCCCCTTCAAGCCGTGTTTTTTTTTTGAAAGCTCTGGACGTGTTATACAGTGCTGAACGCAAAAATCAATGTATTGTGCTACCGAGTGGCCAAGTTCTGCGTCCAATGTGCCTCATGCGTGCCCAATCAAGTCTCTGGTGAGCGATTAGACATGCAGCGTATAAGTGCATTATCTGTATGCTGTCTATATTTTGCCAGCATGTCTAAACCCAACGCACACTGCACATTGCACATGTCATGCATTTGGCATGCACTTGAACCTTAGGTTTAGAAAATATGCATCAAATTGCGTTTGGACTTCCAATTTCGAAAGGCTTTACCAGAAAATCGTCACTGAATACCCGCGGTCAATGCGGTCGCGTATAATCCGTGCGCAGAATGTGTTCACAGTGAGCTACAGTCCGGCGCTGTGCGAGTAGTTGGTCTGCCGGATCGCGTAGACATGTTTGCGCTCTTCCGACTCTAAATATCCCGACGAACTCTAATATAGATAGCAATCTGAGATGCGGTTAAAATTAAGCACCAACCTTGTCAGAACGTGTGATGGTTATTGGAGCGATTTCTTCATCGTGCCGTCTTTCGCAAACAAATCCTTAATTTCGTCCGGTTGGCCTTACACAGAAATTAAATTAATTTTGCTTGCAACGGTCTAGTTATTTACTGAGGCTTATCTTCTACAGTATCAGTAGCCCGTGAACCACCAAATTCCAAACTATGACGCATAATAATGCCGTTAGTTCTAAGAAATAAACGTGTTAACAGAAAGTGGCGCTTGCATAAGCAGTTGAATACTTTTTGGGAAGTTGAATATTGCCCAATGGTACTGCATGAAAGCCATTCAGTTTGAAAAAGTCCCGTGTCGCATAAGTTGTCGGTACGTCTGTTTAGGTATTTACAATAAATGCACCTCAATGCACATGCAAATCAATAGTCATTCCTCACTCCTGTATGAGCTTTCTATAAGAGTTGGCGGGCAGTTTAACTCATAATCGGAACAGTAAGTCTGACAGTCTGAGATTTCATGTCATCGGCATGATCCGTCGCTGTGTCATTAGGACCTTTGTACCGAACTCAGTTGCACTTTGTGATGACAATGCACCAATGCCACTGTATGCTCAACTAACATTTTCAGCAAGATGCATATTACTGCTACATACTGTTCCCAGTGTTACCATTAACGCCACTCTCTTCTTGTCCTCACCCTAGGGCACATTTAGAGTGAGTAATGTCACCTTTGGATGTATGCAGTGTTGCTTTGTTGGTTTGCTTTCCATGTCCAACGGCTTGCAACAGCTGGTGTTAGCCGCCATTGTCCATGTGTAGGTGAATGTTTGCAGTTTCTTGTCACGAGCATCGCGGGTAAGTTTGAATACTTGCTGATACCGGACAGCGACTTGGCGCGCTTTGTGCACTTCTGACGGATCCGGGACCTCAGCGTAGCGTCGCCAGTAGGTTGATGTGTGATAGCAGTGCGATAGGTGATTTGCCATGTGCTAGCAGCGACAGAAAAGCTCTCGGTCTCGATCTGACTTTATCGTGACCATCAATGTCAGCTGTTGCATTAGGCGCTTCGCTCGGCGCCGGCTGGACTGTGAATGGTGATGGGTGACATGTGCACGCAACGGTGTCCTCCGCATGTGTGGCCTGGGAGCTGTGGCGACGCCCCAGCCCCTGTCCCCCGACACCCCTCCCTGGGCGGCGTCCGTCGCATGTGTGGCCTGGGAGCTGTGGCGACGCCCCAGCCCCTGTCCCCCGACACCCCTCCCTGGGCGGCGTCCTCCGCATGTGTGATCTGGGAGCTGTGGCGACGCCCCAGCCCCTGTCCTCCGACCCCTCCCTGGGCGGCGTCCTCCGCATGTGATCGGAGCTGTGGACGCCCCAGCCCCTGTCCCCCAACACCCCTCCCTGGGCGGCGTCCTCCGCATGTGTGATCTGGGAGCTGTGGCGACGCCCCAGCCCCTGTCCTCCGACCTCCTCCCTGGGCGGCGTCCTCCGCATGTGTGATCTGGGAGCTGTGGCGATGGCCCCCTCCTGTCTCCTGCCCTCCCCGGGCGGCGGTGCTCGGCGTGACTCGGCCCGCTGACGCCACTCAGCAGCGGACGCAGTCGGCGGCTGTCGCAGAGGCCCGGGACCCGTCCCGCCATGTGCCGGTTGCTGTGAGGCTGGCCGTAGCTCTCGACGCATCGCCGTCGTCGGGCCGCGGCCGGCCGCCGGGCGACGCTCGAGGCCGGGCTCGCCAGCGACGGGCGGCGCTTTACACACGCCCGCCGCTCGCGACGTAACGTATCTGAAGCCATGCCGGGGTCGATACTGCCCGCGGCCAGCTTTCCAATTATGGAATGCCGTCGATACGAAGGCGCTCAGGGGCTGGCGATCCCGGTTTGCGGCCATATCGATCGTGGCGAGTGGGGGAGGGGAGGGGCACTGGACAGGACGGTCGCGGCAGACCAGCGGCCCCCCGGGACGGTTCCCTGCGCCCGTGCCACCTTTCCCCGAGTGCGAGTCTGCTGCCTGTGTGCTTAGCCTTGTGTGTAAAAAGGAGGAGCGCGCAGTGAGCACCTGTTGAGTTTGTGTGCGCTTAGGACATGTGTGCTTTGCTGTTCTGCCGCGAGGCGGTCACATGTGCTGCCTGTGTGGCGAGTTGTTTACTTAACGCATGCTATCGCGTTAGGTGCCGGCATAATCAATACTGCCGGCGACCAGCGCGGCGCTTGCTGACCGCTAACCAGTCATGACTGCCGGCACGCAGCCTTTCCCACCTGTTGTGGATGCACACGCTAAACTTGCACCGCTAGGTGGCGCCATCAGCGGCGCCGAGGTCCGCGGACGGCAGTGACGAGGAGGCCGGCCGCGGCCGCCTCTCGGTCCCACATGTCGATCGCTGACCGCTGGCCGCTTCTTGGTCTGACCTGTCGACCGCTGGCCGCTGGTCGCTTCTCGGTCCGACCTGTCGACCACTGACCGCTGGTCGCTTCTCGGTCCTACCTGTCCACCACTGACCGCTGGCCGGTTCTTGGTCCGACCTGTCGACTGCTGACCGCCGGCCGGTCCTTGGTCCGACCTGTCGACCGCTGTCCGCGGCCGTCTCCCGGCCCCACCTGTCCACCCCAGCCGGCTGTACAGACGTGCGGCGCGTCTGGCACGTGGCGTGTGTCGGCGGTGCCCCGTTAGCTGCCGGTGTCGGGCGCGGTGCTGGTGTCGTGGCCGGCGGCGCGCCGACCCGTCGGCGCTCGCACCGACTGCGCTAGAGACGGGCGTGTGTGCTGCTCCCGTAGGAGCGCCGGCCTCACCATGTCCTCGGCGGCCACCTCGTCCACCAGCGTCAAATGCGACGGCGACGAGGCCACCAGCAACTGCTCGTCGCCAACGGGCAGGCCGGGCCAGATGGTGCGCCAGGACACGGCCGGCAAGCTGCCGCCGCACCCGAACGTGAGCGTCGGCCGAGCCGCCCCGGCGGCGGGCTGGTACCCATCCGGTTCGTACCGCCTCGCGCCGCTCCGGTCGCGACTGCGGTGGACCTCTCTCGGGCGGACAATGTTCAGTTATTAGACAGGACCATGGCCCGAACACTTATGTTCCTGGACGTACTTTGCGGCGCGAATATATGGCGGCATCGCGTTCCTTCGGCCTCTCAATCATTCCAGCATTGTTTCGCGCAGAACTTGGGCGCGGTCAGTGTGGATACGTAGTCGTAGCACGCCATGTCATGCCACGTTTTCCGCAGGCGGCCTTTTGGCAGAACCGGTCCGTTTCCCTGCTGGACATGTACATCGACAACTCGGAGCCCTCCGAGAACATCGGCCAAATCCAGTTCAGTCTAGAGTATGACTACCAGAACAGCACATTGGTGTTGCGTATCATTCAGGTAAGTGGAGGCGACCGCACGCGGCCATGTCGGCTCACAGCCAGCCAGCCAGCGCGTACTAGGCAGAACAGTCAGCGTGCACTACACTGCCAGGTCATAATTAACCAGGTCAACACGTGTCACACTGCCAGCTCATTAGCAGCATGACCAACACGCACCGCGCTGGTCCGTTCAGGCAAACCTGCCAGAGCGCCATGGTGGTCGGCTCACCTTGCCCTCCGACATTTGGCAATAGCCCTTCCGTTTTGACGTTCTCTTTCAAAGCGCTTGGTTTGTAGCACACATTGCTACACCGTTATCATAGTCATCGCGTGCTTTTTCAGCACACAAATTAATGTAAGTAAAGCCGTGAAAAGAGGTAGATAAGCATCAACAATTATTTGTAAAACATGGGATGGCCTGAGCTCAACACACAATGCCTTGGCCCTGTGATGACCAAAAGGTTGTTCGAGTTAAGCTGGTCGAGAACTAGATGGAAGGGACTCAGTCCATTTGACTCCGTCCCTCTCAGGGACCGTGTAATAGAAGGTCCGAATAATTACAAAACATTCAGCTGGCGTATTTGCACGCAGTATCCCGCCTGCCGGCGAGCCGGCGGGTTTCTCATTTCAATACTCATCCCTGTTTCGCATTTCGATCATCTGCATTCGATGTTCCTCTACGGGATCAGTATCCATTCGATATTTTGCCCTCTAATACATTGGCTAACAGTAGTGGCATCAGCCATGTCATCACTCCACATGGCACAGCTGACACTCATTGTCTCGCAGAGAGCAGTTTATCTCAAAACAGCGCATCCATTCATCACATCGCGTGATTTGCCGCGGGGGGGGGGCAGAGGTAAGACCTCCCCCAATACGACGACCGCCCCCCCCCCCCCGATACTCCCCCCTCCCCCCGAGTATTTTCGGGACCTCCACCCATTAAAGCATGAAGTGCACTTGGTGTCCATGTGACCCGACCGCTGTCATAGAGCGTATTAAAACTTAAACAGTGACAGCGTTACGCTGTGTCTCACCACTCGCTGCAGTTTATTTTTCTTCTTTTTGTGTTGCAATCCGTCAGCAAGCTAGCAGAACAGGTTATTTACCGACAAGCCTCCAAACAATAGCAAGACTAACCACGTCGTTGGGGCATTGGCTGAGAATCCGTGCTAAGGTACTGGGAGCAAATTGCGTGCGCTAGGCATTCATTGCAAGTCCACCTTCGCGGAGAGGGTGTAACTCAAGTGTCACATGCACACTCCCCCCAATGCCCACGGCATGTGTCTATTAAAGCACACAACCCTCGCACGCACGCACACATACTTTCACCTACAAACGCTTACCCCATCATACATGTCCCCCATGTACCCCATCCTCCAATAAGTAGAAGAGATTGACGGCATATCCTTGTATGCAGCCAAAGTCACTATGTGGTAAAAACGGGCTAAAAATCCATATTTTTAACAAAGAAACACGCCACGAGGGCTTGCGGCACCTTTCGGTAATCCTAGACGCCGCCATGTTGGATTCCCACTTTCAGCGCATTCAGGGAGCCTACGCTTGGCGTCGTAAATGGCAAACCGTGAATGCCGTCCAGTCTCGTATTTTTGCATTCCTGGCAAAATTACTGTAAGAACGGCCTTTCCGCTTTGTTTATGTCGATGAGGCCAGGCAACGATTTGAAGGGGCTTCCGCAGTGCTTTAATTTTCTCTGAGGGTCTTGGGCTAAAACCAATTCCTCTGCTGGGGTAAAGACACGTCTGGACGGGAGATTCATTGGGATAAAAGTGGTCGTACGTCCTCTGCATTTTTAACACGCACCTTGGTGGCCGGTTCAATATCCTTCGCTCTGGTGACGGTCGGTTTGACCCTCCCCCCCCCCCCCCACCCCTCCTCCGAGGTCTCAAACAGCAAGAGAGATAGAAGCACCAAATTCACAGGATGAGTTGATCTGTATTTGAACTCGCTTGTACAAAATGTATGGCCCGATGGTCGTGACCTTCGGGTAATGTAAGGTCAATCCAGGTCAAGCTCCAGAGTGGTGTCCTAAGAGCCCCAGAACTCCTCATGCAACGGTCTTGAACTTAGATACCTGCTCTAAGCGAAAGGTCACTGGCGTTCATATTACTTCAGTGACCTTGTTTGACTTTTAGAAGGTCATGGTGACTGATGTGCTCCTGCCCGGCTGGCCTGCTGGGACGTGCCGGCAGCCGTCGGGCCGTCGCTCGGCGTCGCGAGGCCCGCACCTGAGGCGCCGGTCGACCGAATGCGCCAGGCGTATCAGGGTCCAGTCCAGATCTGTTGTTGGCTAGCGAGCGGTGAGCGAGGTTATGTTGCGTGAGGTTATTTTTCCAACTGCGAAGGCACAGTTGCCCTCATCGAACCCGTGGAAATGCACCTTTCCTCGACTGCTATCTCTCGAGGGTACATCAGTAACCAAAACCTCATTAAATTGTGTTTTACTATTAAACTTTCGAATAAGCGTTGGGGATTGCGCTAGGTGGTTCGTTCATGGAAGCAAAGGGCTGATCTGGGTCGTTTTAGGTCAGTAACGTACTTTTGCTTTTAAAAGAATCATGGAAGCTGTCTGTTGCGGTCTCTGTCATCAAGAATTTCGACATGAACATCAAAAACTACCTCATAAAGCGAGCATTCCAGTAAAAACAGGCTGGTTTCGAACTTGGTTTTACCTTTATACTTCTTCATACTTGACTCCAGGTAAATAGAATTCGCTGTAATCCTACAATCACTTGTTTTAATGCCTAGGAAACTATTTCAAAGAGGTATGGCTTCGTCTAACACTCCGTTGTCGTATCAGATTGAGTGGTTTACTAGAAATTGCTCCCGCTGACAGCCATGATCTGATTCGACCTGTCTTGGGTCAGCAACCTTGCAAGATTTATCTAATTCTGTTAAATCAAAAGATTGACTGTTTAATTGTATACCACCGTGCAAAATTTGGCGCGGCTATACTTCGTCGTTCGAAAATTATTTGGTAAAAACCTTTGCAAGGTCAGTCCCACTCGAACGCTTGTTAAATCATTTCGAGCAAAGGGGACAGGCTTAAACATCGCTGCCCCCTAAAATTTTTACTTCCAAAGAAGGCCTTGTGTGCAAAACGCTGGACATATTGAACAGGGTTCGTTACAGAATCTGGAATTTTCATGTGGAGCTGTGGAGCTTCATGTGGAGCTCAAACACCGTCCATGCCTTTAACACGTGCTCGGGTGGGGGTCAAATCCACCCCCGAAAGTTTTTTCCGGAATGGTCTTCGAACGGCGTGGCGCAGCCGCGGCAAACTTTGCATAGCTGTGGAAATTAAAGCTGTATCAAATATTTAGGTGTACCTTGTAAGGTTGCTGACCTACGGCAGGTCAAAGTCAGGCCATGGATTCAGCGAAATCAATTTCTACGTAATCGTTCAATCTGACGCAACAACGGAGTGTTAGACGAAACTATCCATTTCTGAGATACTTTCTTTGGTAACACAATAATTGAATGAACAACGAATTTCAATGGGCTAGGATCAGGTATGACGGCCAGACCAAGGTCAAAATCAAACTGTTTTTTATTGTCCTAGGACTTGCCGTTTGAGTTGGTTTTTGGTGCTCATTTCGAATTTATTTATAACAGGAGCCGTATTATACATCTTCCATGGACTTCGTAAGGGTCACAATAGGCCATTACCCCAAAATGGCTCAGGTGCTGCCTATCGTTATCTTTTTCACTTGTTCAAATGCAAAACTCAACGCAGCATTGTATGACTTTGGCACCATGACCTTAAAAAGGCCAAAAATGTCACTGACCTGTAATGATCATGTGAACTCTTGCTCAGAACACTTATTAAGGTTCTGGAAGCTTTTGGACACCAGCCCTTAGAGTTTTACCTGTTTTGACCTTATTTGACCCGAAGGTCACAACCTAGGAACCTCAAACTTTGACCCAGATGAGTTCACGTCTACGACAAAATACGCTATGTATTTGGTGTTTCTGGCTCTTCTAGTTCTTGCAATCCCAAGGAAAATCAAATTGACCCCCTGACCCGAGCGACAGGTATCCACCCGGCCACCCGGAAGCGTGTTAAAATCCAGAGAACATAAAATTCGTTAAACGGCACCTACGGGGCTCTTATGATCTTGGTTAGCAATGATTGGCATATGTTTAGTAGTATCGGCATGTGTCCACCTACGGCGCCAAAAGCGCCAAATCCACCAGGCTCCAGTGGTTGGATTGAAACAGTTTGCACACAACAGTGGCGTTTTGATTTCAAATAAATATGTCAGTCATCTTGGACATGTGACTCACCAAGTCTCTACATATTGCTTGCAATTACTGCCTCCGTTTTAAAATCGAACGAAACGGCAGCGCCACTGTCCGGAAGCTAAAATCCAGTTGATTTTCTTTCCAGTGCCTTCGTTGATCTCATTTGCTCCCAATACGGAAATATCCATTACGGGTGTTGACTGAGTTGCCGACAATGCTTAAGAGCTTCGCCGCAGCAAACAAACTGCGCACATCACGATCGCATTTGAAAAAAGAAAACGCCAGTTTAGACCACGAAGCGTTGTTTTCAAAAGACTTTATGCAGAGCACCCGTCGCGTATTTTTGTTTGTTGCTTTGTAGCTGTAAAAATTCCTGAAAATCTTTGTGTTTATTAGACTGCATTTAAATGTGGCAACAATTTCGCGCCCCAAATGTTAAAATGTGCCTGTCCAATGCGTTTATGTTTGCTCTTTTGGCTCGGACGCCGCCGAATGTTATTTCATAGTCTACATGTGTTGTAACTGACACACAGAAAGCAAATATTTTGTGAAATCCAAAGTCGGTGGATCTTTTATGCGAGCAGCGCTGAGAAACGTCAGCGTTTCTTTGCAAGTCCTTTTTCGTAAATTCATCCCAAGTGTCTGAAAAGACAGAAGCTCTCAGTGCAGGGACCTTTCGGAATACTCATGTCATGCATAAGCCATTTATCTTTTACCAAAAGAGAAAAAAAACACTGCAATGAATAATGGCCATGCAACAAACCATATTTATCACGTTTAATGCTATTCGTGCACATTTACCATACACGCGAGGGGGAAGGTGGGCCCAAACGAATCAACTAATTCGTAGAACACATTCTTTAAGTACTGTTCCATGAGAACAGCATGATTTAAGCATGTAATCGGTGCGATACATCCGTTATTGTGATATGCAATACACTCATTGCAATACACTCATTGCAATACGCTCATTATGGAGTGATAGCTTCTGCACGATGTGCTACGACCTGCATGTAAAGTTAACGAGTCTCCCCAAATACAGCACCATATATCACTACACGTCACGCAGACACCAAGGTATGTGACGCACGGCACCAGGCTGAAGTGTGAAGCGCGAAGCTTCTGAAAGCTCGGTTCAATAAAACACTGATGGACAATACAAACAAAGCTACAAACCCCAATGAACACGCGTGCGTATCCTCGCGTCTCATTCTGGGCAGGACCGTACATGCGGCTGGTGGATCAGGGGAAGTGCTCTGCTCAGCTTGCATTCGAGCAGCACACATGAAAATACGGGATTAAACTATCTATATCTCATTCATGCCCGAACACTCCATGTAAGTGGAAACATTGCTCGTGTTTTTAGCTCTTATGTATGCGTTTTCGGTTCAGGGTATGTGATGCGTTGCAGCGTTTTTGCCAACATCGCCTTTTTTGTAATTGCCATCCTGATACCCTCGTATTCCCTCTTGGGCGAATTCCTCTCTCTCATGGGAAACGCGTGCATAGGAGTCAGTGCATATGCGCAACTCAAAGAGCTCATACCGCATTGCCAATAATGCTTACGATACCCATGCATGGTTAGTTAATTCTCTCTCGAACGCTGGGGGTGATTTTCGTGGGAGTACCTCACTCTCGAACTCAGAAGTGACCAGATGCTCCCAACTAATGTTGGTTTGAATAGACGTGGCATTTTGAATGACCTGTTTACACAGCGTGCCGTCCTTACCGCCGATACATCAAGCCTGATTATCTCACCTGGCAACAGTGACACCGACGTCCCAGCTTCCTTTCGCTCTTCCCGCGAGCCGATTCGTCTTCTTTAGTGTCGCCTAGCCGCTGACGGAATAATACCTATCTCTCCGTGTGGCGAGTCCTATTGACCAACTCTCGCGTGTTCATCGGGTCGGGAGCTATTGTGACGACAGCACTCGCGTGGCCGACACCGGGGCGGTGTGGGCGGACGTCAGGGGGACGCGCGCCGCCGCCGAGCCGTCTGTAACGCCGTCGCTCTCGTCCGCTAGGCGAAGGAGCTGCCGGCTAAGGACCTGTCAGGCACGTCCGACCCGTACGTCAAGGTCACCCTGCTGCCAGACAAGAAGCACAAGCTGCTGACCAAGATTAAACGGAGAACGCTGCATCCTCGCTGGAACGAGACCTTCTATTTTGAGGGTGAGACCGGATGCAGTAATTGGGGTTGTGTCCTGGCTCCACAATTGCTAGGCTGACCAGCAAGACGAAATACCTGGGTACCCTCAAGCGAGGCATTAGCGCAGGTCTGGCTGGGGCTTCGCCGGGTCTCCTTGACTAAGCCGTGCTCTCTGTGTGTTCCCTCGGGAATAAACGGGTTCCCGCATGCTAATGAGTTGCATTAATTGGCTGTCAAGTCTGCCCTTGTTGTGGTCTTGCTTGTATGCGTGGTCACGGCTGTTGTGCCGACCGTTGATTGGGCAACGCGGGCGTGGGATTTGCTGAGTGCGTAACACAAGTGTGTCAGTTAGTGAATGTGGGCACTGCAGCTGTATCAGTTGCCCCGCTATGTGCGGGAGCATGACAGCGGTGTTGGATGTTGACTGGGCACAGCAGCAGTCCGGTTCTCGGGTTCCTGACTGTAACAGCGGCTGCGTTGGTCGTTGATTGTGAGTACGTCAGCCGTGCCGACTGTTGATTCTAAGGGCACCTCGGCCTCCGCCATGGTGGTGTTTGACCGTCGGTGCAGCAACCGTGTGCTTTTTTACTGCGGGCACGCCATACGTGTCAATTGTTCACTGCGGGTACTCCACCCGTGTCAATTGTTCACTGTGCGTACGTCATCCGTGTCAATTGTTCACTGCGGGTAAGCCATCCGTGGCGGTTTTAACACTGTGGGTACGCCATCCGTGTCAATTGCTCACTGCGGGTACGCCATCCGTGACGGTTGTGACACTGCGGGTACGCCATCCGTGTTAATTGTTCACTGCGGGTACGCCGTCCGTGACGGTTGTGACACTGTGGGTACGCCATCCGTGTCAATTGCTCACTGCGGGTACGCCATCCGTGACGGTTGTGATACTGTGGGTACGCCATCCGTGTTAATTGTTCACTGCGGGTGCGCCATCCGTGACGGTTGTGACACTGTGGGTACGCCATCCGTGTCAATTGCTCACTGCGGGTACGCCATCCGTGACGGTTGTGATACTGTGCGTGCCTCAATCATGCCAGCTATTGGTTGTGGGTACGTCTGTCGTGTCTGTTCTGACTATGACTACAGAAACTTTTTCGGTCATCGACAATGTGGGTGCCTCAACTGCGCCAGTGTTTGACTGTGGGTACGGCAACCGTATGTTGTTAACTGTGTTTACATCAGCCGTGTCAGTTGTCGACACGGTGGGTACTTCGGCCGTGTCATTGTTTGACTGGGGTGCAGCATCTTTGTCAGATGCCGACACTGTGGGTACCTTAGCCGTGTCAGTTGTCGACACTTTGGATACTTCCACCGTGTTAGTGTTTGACTGTGAGTGCAGGCACCGTGTCAGTTAACGACACTTTGTACCTGTGTCGCTTGTCGGCGCTGTGGGCACCCAGGCCGTGTCGGTGTTTGGCCATGTGTGCAGCAGCCGTGTCAGCAGCTCGCCGCTCTGGCGCGGAGGCGGTGCTGTCCGGCCCGACCCAGCCGGCGGCCGACGGCTGACGGGTCACGCCGACTCGTCGCCGCCAACCCGGCCGCGCCGCCCGCCCTGATTGGACTATTGTCATGCGTAGACAGGGGGACGGGACGGGAGGGGAAGAGGGCGGGGGGCCGCCGCCGCGGACCGCTGCGCCGTGGCCGTGGCGCGCGAGCTCGGCCGGCCCGGGGGAGCCGTGCCGCGAGCCAAGACGCTGGCCGAATGACCGCGCCATCAGCATCCTAGTTTATGGGACATTTCCTGGGGAGTGGGTCGCCATCAGCGCCACCGCGCTCCGTCCGCCGAGGCGGCCAGGCGCCCCGCGAGCGAGCAGGCCTGACCAGCGCTGTCCGCCCCTCGTTTGGTACCTCCGGCGGCGACCTCCTACCGGCACGAACGGACGCCCACCGTGGCGGGAGCCGGCGGCGCAGGGCTACCGTGAATACCGCCAGACGCTGACCGGCGCGTTCGCGCGCTCAGTCGCGTTGGACCGTGTGTGTCCAACACTTTGCGATTTTGCTGGGCGCTCGAGCGGCAGCAGACCCGAAATCTTTACTGCACGCATCGGCTGATTTTCCGGTAATAAATAATGCTCCGCCGGATGAACATAACACTGGCTCTGAAGTTGCGCGTTACTCAATCCTTTTAAGCACAAGTGATGCCGATCTATTTCGAGTTGCAGCTTCGTCTGATGCATGGGTCCTGCTGGTGTCATTCAATCTAGCTTTCTGTCAGCAAAGCGAGTGAATGACTGCAAGCCCTTCTCTCAGGGGTCACGGACCGTACGCCATTTCGGGACTGCGCGTCTCGCGCCTCTCATCCCGGGTTACGGTAAACGAAAGCTATTACATCAGCCCGTCATGACTATATCGCCGCTACGAGCGGGGCGTGCCGGCTTCACTGTGACCTTTGTCCGGCGGCAGACCGCGAGCCGTCCTGCCGGGCCCGACGCGTGACCTCCTGCCCCCAGGCTACCCGGTACACAAGCTGCAGTCGCGCGTGCTCCACCTGCACATCTACGACTACGACAGGTTCTCGCGGGACGACTCGATAGGCGAAATACACCTCCCACTGGGTCAGGTGAGTCGCTCTTACCGATGTGTGATGCGGCTGCCGCAGCGTCCACGGCGGGGCAAGCTCCCAACCTGTCAGAAATGGAGAGTTTCGATTAAGTGAAGCAACAAATACGCACCCACAACTACCCAAACTAGCCAGCTACCCACACATATTGCCCCGCTATGACGCTTCTCAAACCGCCTGAGCCTGCTGAAACTTTTGCGGCGCATCGGGTGCCAATGGCCACCTGTCTGGCGATGATTGGCGCCGCTGTCGGCGGCGGGTACATTTGTAGATGAGCCAGCTCGCCGGACCGGCCGCCGACACGGGTCGGTCACGCTACCGGCCGTGATTGGAATCGGTTCAGCGCCCGGCCATCGCCGCGGCGGCCTATGACGAACATCGACACTCACTCGTGCCGCCTTGCCCTGCGATGTCGTCCGCCGCGTAAACAGACGGCCGTGACTGCCTGACGTGGTGTTTGGCCGAGCCCCAGAGGCCTGGGCTGGGTCGCCGAGGCCTGACTCGGTGTTTGGCTAGGTTGCCGGGGTCTGGTATGGTATTTGGCCGAGACAGAGGTCTGATGTGGTGTTCGGCCGGCTCGCGCAGACCTGATATGGTGTTTGGTCGGGTTGCGCAGACCTGATGTGGTGTTTGGCCGAGACGTTGAGGCTTGAGGTGTTTGGCCAGATCGCGCAGACCTGATGTGGTGTTTGGCCGAGACATTGAGGCCTGACGTGGTGTTTGGCCAGGTCGCGCAGACCTGACGTGGTGTCTGGCCGGGTCGTGAAGGCCTGATGTGGTGTATGGCCAGGTCACGGAGGTCTGGGCGTGTTGTTTGGCTTGGTCCCAGAGCCTGGAGGGCTTCCGAGGTCGCGGCCTGGTGGTGTCGCACCCCTCCACTAAGGCCAGAGCGGAACGACGCCAACTATCGCTGAATAGATAAACGGGAGCCAAGTTGCAAGGCGTCGCCTTTTGTCCGGTCGCGAGCCATAAAGCCCCCATAACAATGACCTGTTTTTATCGCTGGCGGAGGCCGCCCGGTTGAGTGGTTCGCCACATGATTGCGCAGAGCCAGCCTGAACCGTGTTCGGCCGGAAAACCCGCGATCCGTCCCGCCTCCGCCGTCTGGTGCAGGGCAGCACCATGTCACCTATGCTGTTTGCGGCCGCTCGCTGACAGCCGGCAGCCATCTACCCCGGGACATCTGTGCCGCGCGAGACGTCCCGTTGGAGTGGTCCGACTATGTCAGATGAAACGCGAATCTGGTAGGCGATGAATGTTTCGTGGAGAGCTTTTGAATGACCTGGGGTCGTATTAGCTTGGGTCTCGTACTGATGGGATTGTTGACGCATTCATTCTTGCAGTCACTGGTGTAATATACATCGTCAATGCCCCATGCGCACTGAAGCCTCATTTGCGTATCCCAAAATATGTTCAAGGTGTGTCCAATTCGTCCTGATGGAACAATAACGAAATCGGTTCATTTCACTACAGGTGGATTTCAACGAGAAGCCAACGTTTTGGAAGGCGTTGAAACCGCTGGACAAGAACATCTGCGGCGACATCCTGTGCTCTCTGTGCTACCACCCCAGCAACAGTCAACTGTCGCTGACCATTCTCAAGTGCCGCAGTCTGAAAGCGAAGGACATCAATGGCAAATCTGGTAGGTTTAGCCTCGATGACAGCATGAGCGAGGGACATCAATGGCAAATCTGGTAGGTTTAGCCCCGATGACAAGCATGAGCGAGGGACATCAATGGCAAATCTGGTAGGTTTAGCCTCGATGGCAGCATGAGCGAGGGACATCAATGGCAAATCTGGTAGGTTTAGCCTCAATGACGGCATGAGCGAAGGACATCAGTGGTAAATCTGGCAGGTTTAGCCTCGATGGCAGCATGTTGGGCAGGTGAACGCGCTTCTGCCTCCGTCTGTTTGTGTACATTGCGGTCGACGTCTGCATCCAAGCCAGAACGCTATCACTCTACTCTATTCGTATATCAAGCAACAACCGAACCTGGCCAGCAATCGTACGCCGTCGCGTCATTGGAACAGTGCGAGAGGAACGTTACGTCATAACATGCCAGGTTCCTGATGTTCTTTTGTGTTGTTTGTAAGTCTCCGCTTGCGTTATCATTATATTGACGATAATGTGTACATATGTGCACACCCCATCCATGTGTGAAATTAGTCTCTGATCGTCTCCCTTAAATGACTGATGTCAGGTTTAATACATGAGGAAATTGATTAAAGAAGGAATGACCATTTTGGCACGATACAGGTATTCCAAGTTTAAGTATATGTTCCTTCCGACACATGTCTTACCACACACCATGGCAGAGTCAATAGTACCCGCACGGCATCCCAGGAACAACGTATCAAACTGTTTGGGACGGCTACTGTAGAGGAAGTATGCTTTGCAAGGAGAGCCCCGCATGCTCGTCCCGGACGGCTGTGGACGCAGTCATGTATATCTTTCAGGTAACTTTCACTATTACGCCCACTGATCACACCAGGGAATTAAAGTTTTGTTTCCAAATGAGATTTGGGAAAGGAGCGTTATTCAGGATGACCTCAAAATGTACATAACGTGGTGTTCAATGAAAGTTGAGTGAAGAATTGATGAACAATAATCACGCTAAACTTAATTGATCTCTTTGAAGCAGAGAGCAGATATGAGCAGCATAGTTTATTATATTCGGAAAGCATTATCAAGCTTTGAGTCGTTCACCACTTTTTCCGAGCCCTGAGCATTAAGTCACCTACTCTCCACATCTACAGGACAGTTTGAACGACACTGGCGCAAAACATATCATATTGACTGCTTGTTTATATTGACTGCACGTCACCTCTTTAGAAGAGGCGCATGGCCCTGAGACCCCACATAAGTAAATGCCTGGGAGAGGGGGAGAGGAGAATGGTCGAAAATAAAGCTACATGCGGACTAACGTCTGATGCTCAGAACAGACAAATGTCAAGTAAGCGATCAAAGGCCTGCTCGGCCTCGACAGTTGGGGACAATGACCGACTCCAGGCGCCTCCAGGAGAGGCTGCGCCGACTGAAGCACTTTCAATTGTCCTAAGAATCCACGGTTTCCAAACGGTACCACTTACGGTGACTTCGAATCGTTTACTTTGTTTTAAAATGTCACGTTACACAGAGTAGTCCTGCTCGTTGTGAGTCGTCCCAGCTTTTGAAGTCTCATTTGATTTTCTTGACTGTCTGGGCTTCTTTAGCTACCTCTTGAAGTTAGCCAAGAATTAAACGTATTACAAATGCAGTTCTAATTTTCTGCGTATCACTGAATGCAGTGTCTGGTAGGGATTGTCCCGGTGGTCCCTTGGTAGTCGCAAAATTCGTAACACTGGCGGGGTCTATTGGTCAGTTTAGGATCCCGCCTCATTCGGAACACGTCCTTGATTGTGGATCTTGCTATTTCAGAGCCAGTAACCGTTTTGTGTTTCCCTAGAATTATCAGAATACCATTCAGCTAGAGCGCAGTTAACACCCTTGCGAACATGATCGCTTTGAGCTTTTTCATCCCATGAGTCACAGCCGCTGCACTGTCATGAGGGATTCTCCGAGGGATTGCACTCTCACGAGGGATTCTCCGAGGGACTGCACTCTCACGAGGGATTCTCCGAGGGACTGTACTCTCACGAGGGATTCTCCGAGGGAATGCACTCTCCCGAGTGATTCTCCGAGGGACTGTACTCTCACGAGGGATTCTCCGAGGGACTGTACTCTCACGAGGGATTCTCCGAGGGACTTGTACTCTCACGAGGGATTCTCCGAGGGACTGTTCTCTCACGAGGGATTCTCCGAGGGACTGTACTCTCACGAGGGATTCTCCGAGGGACTGTTTTCTCACGAGGGATTCTCCGAGGGACTGTACTCTCACGAGGGATTCTCCGAAGGACTGTGCTCTCACGAGGGATTCTCCGAGGGATTGCACTCTCACGAGGGATTCTCTCGAGGGATCAGCAGTATGTGGACATGCCTCGGACTTTGATTCTGCTCAGGTCCTTGTTCCGTAGAACTGGTTCCGCCCTGGTCGGGCCTGTCGACTCCCATGACACTGCCGCGAAGGGTATCTGAGCTATCCCAGTGTTGGCAGACCAGTCGGACAGCGGTTCTCGGATGTCTTGATGGTCGCAGGAAGCAGGATGCGCTGCCTGCTTCTTTTGATAGGCCTGTAGTGTAGTGTGCTGTTGCGTCCTGGCCGTGCTTGTTTCGCATGAGTCTAGTTTATCTGAAGTGGTCCGCGCTTTGTTCTCTTTAGAGCGCTTGGTGTCTGAGTTGTCATTTTCTTTCCATTTATCCGCCTTTCGCAGTCTGAAAAATTGGATCCTTTGAATATGAAGCGGATCGCTCTCATTCTTAAACATTAGAGCAACGTCAAGCTTTCCTTCTTGAACAAAGTTTCCATATCACGACGCGGCCTGCAACAAAATTTGGCCGACGTCAAGCAAAAACTGTCGTGGCGTCATCCGAAGACAATTCCTCTTAAAATTAATCTTGCCAGGCCTGACATGTGTGGAATTAGTCAGCGGTAGACATTTTGTAGCACCAGGATGATCGACCAAGTGGTCGAGTAAAGCCTGCCACCGGGAACTGCCCAACTTGGATCCCATCAGGATATAAACAGCTGATTTGGCCATCAGCCAGCTGGCAGCTGCGCTGTGAAGGCGAACAGTCGCAAGCGGCATAATATGCTGGCATCCACTTCGGACAGTGGGTTTTCACAGGAGGAATTTGCGCGGGGCGCTGGAGCCTTTGCCGGTAGGGTTTTGCTTGGCCCATACTCCACGTACCTGCAAGGTCAGCATACTCCTCCAGTTAGTGACACGTTACATCCCAGCCGCCAGGTGCCCTTTTAACATTTTCCAACGTTTTGATCGTAAATTATGGGAAAGGTTGAGGAAATGAACCAAAGAGAAAGACAACCCAGAGTCTGTGCAAAATAGCTAACTGTGACAACATGTAACACGAGATTCGCAATAATATACGAAAGATAGCGCAACTAGAGATAGCTCCTGAACTTTGCAACATCATTTTGTATTTCTCGAAGCCTCTCCGAGAGTTTCCAGTCTTTCCATCTAAGCCTATACCCATACTTGAAAATGAAAAATAAAAACTTTTGAAAATATCTGGCCGGCTAAGCCCGTTTAACACTTAAGCGTGACTCAAAAAAGTGCCGCGTCTGTTAAGTCGAAAATTTCAGTCATTATCGACACCAGGCATCGAGCTAAGGTCTAAACGAACCTGTCATGCGGATTCTTTTCCCGTAGCAAAATACCACAGTCAGTGCACCCACTGTCCGCCGTAAGACCTTCCTCACGGCTTGAGCTCGCGTGTCCGTTTTGTGGGCGACTCCCCTAGTGGGTTTGGTTCTTCAAATGTCCCAAAGGAAAACGGTGCGTAGAGGGATCTGGGCAAAGCAAAGCGGCAGGCAAGAGGATGGCACTCTTCTCGAAGACACCACAATCGTGTATACGACACCCTGTAATGGACACTCTGTATAAGGGTTATCCAAAGATTTACCAGGACTGTCAAGGCCGCTAGTGGAAATCCTGAGTCGTATCGTCAGCACCGGAGCAATCCATAGCAGTCTTTATTAAACGCTGAGAGCAATGGTGCAGAAGTATACTACAACCTCATTCAGCACGCACAATATTTGTCTTCAAGTGAGGGTAGATTATAGAGCGTGGGCTAAAGCTCATAGTCACTAGTGATACTAGCGATAGTTGCACAGACTTGTTTTGTTCTGCTTATGTGCTAAGGAAGAGATTCTTGCGATTGAATTTCGCCCGTAAAATTTCATTGAGCCTCGTCGGCAATTCACCGGTGGTGCTTGGTCGTGACACGCCGAAAGCATTCGCTGCAGCGGCGCAGCTGGACTAGATGACATGGGTGTCTCCCATCTTTTTGTTGGCCTGGGTTGTGACACAATGGAGACATCGATGTGGAAACCTGCGGCCCTGTAAATCGCGCTGTATTCCGCTGATTTTCAACATTTGTGCATGGGCTTGGATTTTAAAGGGACAGGGGGCGCAACCCTTGCCACCTGCCCAACTTTTTCGCTATGCCTGTGGCTGTGTGAAAAACATCGAAAACCTCGGCGTTCCTTGTAGTTTTTGACCCATGCCGTGATGCAGCTGGTGCATTTGTTTATCGGTTGTGGATGCTTGTGCTTAAGGGATTCTTTCACATTTGAAGATATTGAGGCATCATATGTGATGGGAAATAATCACTTGTAACTATTGGTATGCTTTTATGTGAAGCAAACTGTTCAGCAGCGCAATCTGACTGCTAGCCAATAGCCTTCTATCATTGGTACACTTGGTGCTTCAGCTCCGCAAACACGAATGTTTTAGCGGCTATTTTTGTCTTAACCATGAGCACATTATAGCCATTGAGGTGAAGCGGTCGTCTCGATGACGTCATAGAGACGAACACCGTGAACTCGTGGCGTCTCCATGGCGCCACACATGTTTGGGGAACTTTCCCATAGGCGACGCGTAACAGACTGCACAAGTTCGCGTGTATCAAGCTCAGAAACCTGAGGGTTTGAGGTCTGGAAAATGGTATGGCTACGAATTGCAGAGAGAGATCATGAAAATAGCTGTCGAAGTTCGAAACCTCATCCAAATGTGAAACGTTCC